GCTGCAAAGAAGCCAACAGTGCGTTCTCATCGCAACATGGGAAACCCCATTCTGCACTGCACTGGCAGGGGATGTGGAAAGCCCACTATTCCCCACAACTCAGTGAAATTTCACAGGCTGTCTAAAAATCATCACTTGGATAGAACCTATCCTCTGTCAACCCACTCTCTTTAGAAACGGAACAAAATATGTCATGATGTCCCCCAAGGTTACAGGAAAAACTCAATAAAAGATTTTTCACAGAATCCAGAGAATTCTGCGCTATAGGAAATAGCCTTATGGTATATCTGCTAACATTTTTCAATTTCTGATAAAGACTGCAAATATTTTGTGATGCATTGTTTTGTGTTTCCTCTACTTACTAATCAACTAATTTAACATTCAGTAGGCTTGAAAAGTGCCTTCAATGAAAAGATTTAGCATGTCACAATTTCTTTTAATACTAAAAATGTTAATGCTATTTTTATTTCAATGAGTGTCAAATAAACAATTGTAAAAAATAATTAAATCAGTGACAGCATCTTTAGTGTTCACCAAGTTTCAGTTTGCGTTGCAAATAATGGCATTCACAAAGCACTAGCAGAACACTGTAAAACCAAAGATCTTATTTACGTATTTAAATTAAAAACCAACTTTCAAAAAATGTGAGGACATGAATTTTCTCGAATGTACTTGCAGTCATACACACATAATGCTTTCTAATATCACATAAAGACTGGAGCATGAGGTGGGCAAATGTTTGATAATGCTGTTTTTAAGGAAAGTGACACAGAATAATTAATTGCTATTTTGTACACAGTGTGCCAACTTGATTCATAGTGTGATGTCATTAAAGCAAGTAGGATGAAGTTAACCAAACATGACTAAAAAAAACCCAAACTTTGATATATTTTCATTTTCTTACCATAACAATTGCAGAACTAGGAAAAAAAAAAAAAACACAAAGTTTAAAAAAAAAAAAATCAGACTAGGATCAACTAGGAAAGAAAAAGATACCATTCTTTGTATTAAAAATTTTCTTTGGAAGAAATCCTGTCAATCTGGACACAGGCTTTTTTTTATACCACACATTCATAAGCAATTCATGAGCATTCACAATTCTTAAAACGTCTACTTAATATTTTCTTTACATTTTCCTAGTTCTTTGTGATAGCAGAATTGTGTGAAGAAATTGGATTCATTAGTAGCTAGTTGCCCTGCTGATTGCTTTGCCATACAAACAAGTGGGAGAACTAAATGTAATCTTAGCTCTGTAGGCACCTGACTGCAAAAGAAAGAAGCAGGCAGAGCGCTGGGTATGTGCGCTAGTCTACTGAGAACTGTTCAAGCAGCTCTGCTGGCAGGATTACATGCCTATCTCATCATTTTTTTATGTCTCAGAACTGGAATAAATCTTAAATAGAAAAAAATCAAGTGCGCTATGTATGCTATGTATGTGTAGAAAGACATACAGTGTATATGCATGAAATCTAACCTATCATCAGTGCCTGGATGTATAATACATGCATAAATGGAAGACTAGATCATACCATATGGAATGAAGTTTTTACCTAACAAAATTACTTTTTTCCTTTTATTAAAATCTGCCCTCCTACTGTTCAGTGTTTCAGAGATTTTCAAATAGAAAGTGCCAAGCCTTCTCCCACATATATTAAGTGAGGCTTAGCAACAAATAAAAGACTTGGTTCTTAATCAAAAAATATAGAATCACTTTATGAAAAACTGTAAAATATAATTTTGCACAAAGGCTATTTTGGCAACACAAGTAGTAGTTGTTAGCTACAACACATGGGAGCCTCTGCCATACTCTCAAACACAAATTTAGATATGAAAAGTGGATGGGGAAAAAACAGAGCCAGTGAACAGTGCGTGTGGCAGAAAATAGTTACATTTACAGTACTATCCAGCCTCTGGAGAGAAGCCAGGGGCCTTCCCATGAAATCTTTCTGTGCTTTTAACACTGTTGCAAAGCTTCAGGGAATTCTAATTGTATAAACAGTTATGGGGAAATGAGATTCACTGAGAGACTATGTCCAGCCAGTGGTAAAAGTGATGATTGCAAGTCAGTATCACTCATTTAGAATATGAACTTCCTGCTAGCAATTTATATGCATTTACCAAAATTGTCTCAAAATCAACCAGTTAGTTTCTTTTCAGTCTGATTATACAGTCAGCTTCCCAAGGCATGTACAGTAGATCTCATTCCGCTGAAATACAGCTAGATGTTTCATTGTCTTTTGATTTTAAATAATGCAGGTTCTCCAATATTTATATAGTGACAAAATTCTAGTGCTTTAAAAATCTGCCCTTCACACAAGCCTAAGCATACGTATTTTAAAATTACTTACTGTACATCTTCATATTTTGTTTAAGGCATGAACAATGGCATATGAATGGGAACAGCTTCCGGAAAAGCATATCTTTTTGTCAAAGGCCAGTCCAAGCACATCACACCAAAGGACTAACCTGAAGCCAGAAATGACAGTGTTGTGACCCAAGAGTTTTTAACAAAACCAGTCAAAACAAAATGGATTTTTTTTTTCTCTTTTTCTTCCCCCCCCCTTTTTTTTTTTAATTTAAATTACATTACACTTAATGTCTGTTTAAAGCACCGGTTGCAGTTTTGCGTTTACCACCTCTTCCGAGTGACTTTGGATAACTCATCTGCTTCTTTTGTTCTGAATTTTCAGTGTATGAAACTTCAAAAGGTTTCTGTTTCCTTTTTTTTTCTTTTTTTCTTTTTTTTTCCTTTTCTGCAAAATTAAAAAGATCCAGAAGTGGTCAGGGGCCTCGTCTAATGCACTTTCAGAAGTCCATTATAAAGATGAATATAAATGCAAATGATAGAGGTTTTTCCATAGACCCACAAACCACGCTTAGCTATAAGAACATATTGTGCATAGTTATTTTTTTCTTCAGAGTGATATGTTTACTAGATCTACATTCTCAGTTTACCATAGTACAGGAATTTCTACTTTACTAAAGCCAGGATCCTTTCGCAGTTCCCAGTAGGTGTCGTTGGTAACCCAGGCTTCTCTTTGATTAGCATCGATAACTTTTCTGTAGAAAGAAAAAAAAGTAAAATAAAACACATAAAAGAGAGGAAAAAAAAAGTTCTGACCAGAGATCTCTGTTCTTACGCAATATGAAATCAAATTCCATACCTCTCTAGTCTAACCCAATACTAAACCTGATTTCTTATTTCTAAAGGACACAAGAACAGTCAGTGATTTAAAAACAAAAATCAAACTCTACCTGTGTCAAAAGCAGAAGGTTTAGAAAACAGCCAAGATTGCAAAGCTGTTTCCTGATCTCTGTGAGCAGGTCTTAAAGCCTCTTTGGCCATTACAGATCCTGACTATGTGCAGGAGATCAACCAAGAGATGTAGCTTGCAGAATACAAGCCTTTTACCCTTTATACCATTTGTATATCCTCTGTATATTGCTTATCTTCCACTACAAAACTGCATCAAGCACATTCAAACTTTTCACTTTTGATTCCCCATGCTAAACATCAGGCTATTTGGTATGACTATCCCTTCTTTCAGAAGAATGCTTAATTTAAAATAACAACAACTGAAGCCATCCTCCCCCCCCCCCCCGCCAAAAAAATAAACAAATTGTAATTTAAGAGTGTGTGTGTATATACACACACACACACATATTTATATATACCTATATATATATATATATATGGATGTATGATGTTGTTCAGGTCACTATTTATTACTTTGTTTATGCAATGACTTAAACCAATAACTTACATCCTAATATTATACTTCTATTCCACTTCAAAGTTCAAAAAACATTGTCCAAGAGGTGCATCAGGCTTGTACAGCTGTTGCCTTTTGTGAGAATATGATCTTTAAATTATGAAGCTTTAAACTACATAAAAATTGCTTCAGGCAGAGATCAGGCATCTCATTATTTTCCTTAAAATTGCCATTTTCCAGGCTTTCATGATTAACAGACTACATTGGTGGTAATTCTTGTAGTACTTTGTCGAGTCATGCTAGAGAAAACTGAAACTTACTACTGAAATGAACAGACTCACTTAAAAAATTTGGGTACATATTCAATGCTGTTTTCTTCCATGTACCGCCTCCGACCTCTCTGAAGCTCCTCTATTCTTAGTTTCTCAGATGCTGCCGCTTCTATATTTCCTTCCTCCAGAAGCCTGTATGAAGAACAGCAGGTCCTATAGCAATCATACAGTGTCCAGAACAAGGGATTTTCTAGTACCAACCATCATGAAAGACAAGTAGAAGCCAAGCCTGTTGTCTGTGTTGAACCCACTTTCAGATCTAGTCGTAACATCATAAAATAAGAATAACCAAGATGTGACTCCCCAGTTACATGTACCTGACCTATAGCCTAAGGCATACACTTTCTTTAATAACTTCAGCAGATCACAAACATTGAAGTACTATGAACTGAGAGTTAGGAGGGAATTGATGTTGCTTGCATTCATAGGAGGAGGGCATGATATTTCAGAGCCTGTCTTTCCAGTTTGTTATGAGGAACCCCACCTCTGCCCAAAGCCTGCACTATAGCTCTACTATACCAACAGGTATATAGAACCCCTCAACGGGGTAAAGCAGAACTTTGATTGCAATACTGAATACCTTCTCTGCTAGCAGAATCCTCCAAAACTTAGTTCAGACTGTAGTGAAGACATAGACAAAATTCAATACTCAGCCAAACCCAGCCTTAAAACCACAAAATACTCAGTGTATAAGCATTCTTGCCTTTGATCCGGCCTGAATCGCGCATCTGTTGTAGGAAGAAGATCTTTCAGTAAAGGATCTAATTCATTGAGCTCAATAGCAAACCTTGTGAAGCCATAATAACGTTCATAATTGGTTGGCATGGAGCCTGTACGAATATGTATGAGAAAGAAAAAAGCTTTTTAAACTATTACTCTAAATATGCAAGAGATTATTTATTAAACTATAACAGCAAAAATATTAATATATTTTATTCTTACACACAATTAAAAAGCATCAGAAGCTATCTCTAGGTGGAAAAACATTCACTAAATATTAATTTCAAGTGCTTATCCTGCAGAGGTTGTAATTACATGCTAATAGATTCAAAACTTCTATGATCTTCCTTCCTTTTTAAATAAAAATTACTGCTTTCAAGATTTTCAAGATAGTTTCCTGTTTCCTGGAAAGTGGGCTTATCAAATGTCCATATAAAAGCCAACCTTAACTGATTTCAGAGTTAATTTTGGAACATAACGCCCACTCGCAGACTGATTTGGCACTGTCCAACACCTTCAGCACCAACGGCAGTCAGAGTGGACATTGCAAAGAGCAGGATGCAAAGTAGGGTTCAAAATACTAACAATAATTACAATTCTTGGACAATCACTCTGCATGTACGAAAGACAGTGTAGGTGCAAAGAATGACTAATGCAACCTCAGTGCCTCCAAGCAAGCAGTAAGGAAGTTGAAATCAGCTCCTGAAATCACAGGAGCTCCCCATCTCTCAGGACTAATCCTTTAGGCTAATAAAGCCTGAAGACAACAAACTCAATGAACTGGCACCTCCTATTTGTCGAATCCAAACAAGCTACCCTGCTCTCCGTGAGAAAGCAGGCAGGCAGGCCCAGACAACCAATTTTTTTTTTTTCTTAATTTTATTCTTAATGTTGACCCCAAAACACCAGGATATTTGACCAGGAGTCAGACTGAGATGTGGAACACTATGCCCTGTAAGAACATTTCCATTTACCATTATTATAAACTCATGTAAATTCTTGTTTATTTGTCTAGCCAAAAATTTAATTGCTCCAGTAGTATTTTGTGTATTTGAAATGAAGGCTAGAACAGCTTTACATAGTTAAGGGTTATACTACAGGGCCTGTCAGAGTTTATTACAAGCTTCTTACCTGGCCTCCATATGCATTTGGCTGAAGGTGCAACTCCACAATAAAGGCCTTCATGCCACTTTCCAAATAGGCGATGAACCACTTTCCCTTCTTGATCTATCACAACACCCTGGACCTCATTTACATTTGAATTCCAGTAGTTCACCTGCAAGTTTAACAAAGAATTACTAGTTCACACTGTTTTTCACATTACCCATTGTATCAATACAGATACTGCACGAATCTTAGTATGTGGCACTGACTGTCCAAATTTTGTATTGGAACAGATCACCTGGAACCAAGAATACCAGAATTCATAATTCACATGATCTGAATATTAATTTATTTATTACATGAGAAACCCTGAACAATTTGATAGATGGGTTTGGTATAAAGGCATTTAAATTATCTGCACATATGAGAACTATATTGTTGTTCATTAACCCAAATCCCACACAATTCAGCAACAATGACACTGCAAGTTGCAAGCTCAGAGCCATCTAACTCTCTTCTTCTATATGGAGAAATACAGAATATAGCTGTAAGGGAATCCTTTGATGGGTGCTGCACACTACTGTTTGCAGCAGGGAAGATGTTCAGCCAGTGTTGTTATTCGTTGCTTTCTGTTTCTCTTCTCTGTCTTGCTTTTCTTAGACATATTTAATGGCCAGTCACCCATTCTCAGAACATCCATCAAAATGTGAATTTCAGATTTACAGTAATGAACCATTGCTAACACTGCAATGGTATTGATGTATTTTGATGCAATATGAAGACATACTTATTTTTAGGGAAAATAATTGCTAGTAACATAGCTATACAGTGATCTGTTTTTATATATGGTCTTTGTCTGGATATTAAAATACTATGAACCACAGCAGCATTATTTAATCTAAAGAGATAAAATATTGACTGCTAAATTCTCATAGAGGCAGAAGTAAAATAGAACAGAAGTCTACAGCGACTTTGTGTTTTCATCGTGGTAATAGAAAAGAAATTTTGACATTTCATTGTTAACCTAAAAACAACAGCAGCATAGCACGCAGCTATACAGCAATGCAGCACACTGATATCAAAAGTTTAATGCGATAGCGTCATACTATTTGACAATTCACATATTTACAAATGTTTAATAGACAAAATGTGGAATGTGCATTTCAGGAATACTGAAGAAACACCTTAATTTATGCTTAAACTATGCAGGTTTATGAATATATGATACGTATTAGAATACATATGTTACCTTGACAAACGTGAGTTTACAAATACAAACACTGCTTTTTGTGTTTCTGATAGTTATCTCTCCATAGTGTTCTATCCACCTCCTTCCACTAAGAATATTATGTATGCAAGTAGTGACTTTGTTCCAGACATAGTAGTCTCCATACCTAAGAACAGATTAACAAGCAGTTGGTAAGATACATTAATCATGATCATTATGGGCAACACATAAAACCATAACTCTGTTACTGTAAATATAAGACCATATTCCTCAAAAACTTTTGAAACAATAACTTTAATAAGTTATTGTTTATTTAATAAGTTACTGGTTCTGGCTACATTACTAGTCCTCCATAGAGGAGCTCACCTAAGCTGTAGCATAGAGAACTGAAGAATGGTTCTATAAACCACAAATCAAGACATTAGGAACCACAAAAGCCCCCCACAACATATTCACTGTCCTCAGAACATTAACTGTGATGTGGTCACAATTCCTTTAGGGGCAGGACAGGGACCAAAAGATCAACATAAGGCTGAATTGAGGCTATAAGCAGACAATGTAATTAAACTACAAATAGAACAAAAAAAGGAGATAACTGAAAGGAAGTAGGAAGCAGAAGCTCACTGGCATATCATCCCTTTCCCTCTGTAACACCTACTTAAAGTCAGAGCATCTCTATTGTCAAACAATAAATAAAGTGAGCGAACTAATATTGTGCAAAGCACAATTTCCTTCAGAGCTGAGGAGCAAGCATGAAGACAGGAGACAGAGATGCTCCTGAGTGGATTTACTTCAATTTTCATGAGATGGATAAAGAGGTGAAGTGTAGGGATGTCATACTGTTAGAAGCAGAAAGAAAGGCTGGCTGCAATGTACAGGAGCAGGAATAGTACTGCAAAATCAGCAGACACGTTTCAACTATGCTCTCCTTGCATATTCTCAGGATTTACAACTTGCAACTAGTCTCACCTGTGGTGAAACTACTTCTGCTCACTACTCTGTCAACTTCTGAAGAACACATTTTGGCAGATCTACATTTTGAAAAATGACCTTAAATTGTTACTAGTGGTTGTTCTGAGGGAACTCAGTACTATTGAGTACCTTCGTACGAATGGCGCTAGCTGCTGGCAGTCCTATATTGCAGCCTTGTTCTGAAGAGTTGATCGCTACTGTACACGTAAAACTTGGGATCTCCTAAAACATTTCTATCCCACTCTGTCTATCATTTTCTAGAGAGTTTGTATATTTTTCCTCCAAAAACCCAAACGGATCTTCAGGCTCAAAAATGCTTCAGTATCCCCACCTGTACACTAAGGAGGGATTTGAGCTCAGCCCTAAATCTCACCAGTACAATTCATGTGATGTCTGCATACACTTCCCCCAATCCATTCACAAGGCAGCACAGATTAGATTGCAGCAAAGACCAAAACCAGAAGGAAACAGGACAGTAGCTTACTTTGGAAGAGTCACATTCAAGGTTCCAACTGGCAGAATTTCCATTGATTTCCCCCAGAATTTGTTTTTCCACCTGATATCTGAATATAATAGTGAAATATTTACAAAATCAAAAGGACCAAAGTCTCCCCCTTGCAGTGATCTGCGTCACACAGGAGATGATCTATGCTAGGCCATCCAGTTTAAAACAGGATAGTATGAGGTTGCCATGAAAATACAAAAGAAAAAAAAAAACACAAAACCAAAAAACAACCAGAAAACTAGATAATGACATTAGGTTAGAAAAGCTAAAGATAAGTTTGATTTTCTTCTAGAAGTCATGCTTGTGCTACGTTATTGTCAAATCTCTCATGAAAACATTCAATACAAATTAAATGCATGTGCCAGCAGATACAAGGAAAGAAAGAGCTGCTTGTTCAACTGTGTAAAAAGAACTGCTTGTGTTTGTAAGAAATAATAATTTTCTTGGTAAACAGTTTTTAAGCAGAAAAGTATAAACAGACTGCAAGTGACAAGGGAAGTTGTAGCATGTCTGCTCACTCTTAAGAATGAGAATTTCAAGTGAAGTAATTCAGAGCATCAGTTCGTAATATGTTACTACAAAAATAATAAGTATAGAAATTTTGAGTAAGTTCCAAATGCCAAGCTCAGCTTGTATAGACAAAGTTTTTACTTGCTAATAAAAAAAGGAGTTATGTTTTTGAATTAAAAACGTATACCTTGCCAAAACACAAAGTTCTTCGATTCACAGTGACAGGCCGAAATGGGAGGATGGTGGCTAACCTGGAAAACAGTTTGGCTGAGTTAAACATGATTCATTTTAATTTCTAAGACAATACAACTGTTACTACAATATGAAAATACTAAATAGCCCACACTATTTATCAGCCTATGTTGCTATGAAAACAGATGCAACTTAAGTTTGTACTTAAAACACTATGTACTTAAATCACTTCCTTGTGATTACTATAAAAATACAGCATTTAACAAATTTCACTCATACTAACCACCTTCTTTACTACTAAGAAAGCAAGCTATTCTAACTAGACAGAAAAAACAAGATTACTCTATTTAAAAAAAAAAGAATCTAAACAGGAGTGTCTATCTAGAAACAAGCTTTACCTGCTCTGAGAAAAATCGAAATCCTTTGTCTTCTCTAATACATTCATAAGTTTCACCAAGCACTGGGTTAAATGGCTTGCTTCCTGCTCTAAAGTACGTAGAGGCATAGCCTGATGCTGCAAAAGCAGCTATGAGAACCTGTGAAAATACAGACAAGAACATAAGTGAGAATAGGCAGAGATTCTTGTGTATATGCCATCACTATGTGATATCATGCAACTCACTCGGAGTGAAATCTGGATTAATGAAGCATGCCTAAGAGTGAAGCCATACAGCCCAGCCAGAACCAGTATAAATTGTGTTTCTTTTGTTGATATAATTTGTTTTTCCTCATGGCCTCAGTCAGTGTCTTTCAACAGTCCCCTAAAATAACAATCTGCACAAGATAGGTTTTCTACCTTTGACCAGGCTTATCACTAATAATCTAAAACACAGACCCACCTCTAGTCCATGCTCTCTCTGAATAAATATTATATGACAACTTCTAATGACAAGATCACACACCATTTTCCTATGGGAACTACTTTATTTAGTGCCAAATATAAACAGCTCTCACTTAGGATGTCCCTAAGGCAGAGTTATCTCAGGATCTGCCATGCATGCAGAGCCTTATCAGCCCCTTGTCTACATGTACAACCAAAATTTAGTAATCTCTACACCAGACCTAGTTGAGAGTAATAAGCTAAGTGACATGCCACAGTAATTCAGATTACTGCTCCCTTTGGCAGAGTTAAAAACAAAACAAAACAAAACAAAAACATCACAACAGGCACTCAGAAGTCCAAAACTTCAGAAGAGCAATACAGGGATAAAAATCACTCAGCTATGGATAATCTGTTAACCGTGGGGTGAACCTTAACCACATCACCCTCTCCTCATGCTAGCAAGGACTTAACTTGTGTGAGCTTTTACAAAAATTTTTTATTTTCTTCCCACTGTGTAATGGGTACTCTATCAATTTCATCTTTTTCATAAATGCAGCATCAACAGAATTAACGCTCTTTTTACAGGCTTTTCTTCAACAGTAAAAACCTTCATTCTTCCAAAACCTTTTTCATTAATTTAATTATAAGATACTACAGAGAAATGAGGGGGTTTACTATCTTTATGATATATAGAGCAGTAAGAAGAAAAAAGTTTCCACCACTATTGAATGCTTATTTAAGATAGCAAAGTCCTGATTTTTCAGAGAACAGTGAAGAAGCAGGCAACATATTCACAGCACTGCTACCACTGATGCTTTGGGTATTCAGCACTTCTGCCAAGTAGTCATAGAATCATAGAATTCATCGGGCTGGAAGGGACCCTCAAAGGTCATCTAGTCCAACCCCCCTGCAGTGAGCAGGGACATCTTTAGCTGGATCAGGTTGCCCAGAGCCCCATCAAGCCTGACCTTGAATGTCTCCCTGGGCAAACTGTTCCAGTGCTTTACCACCCTTATGGTAAAGAACTTCTTCCTAATATCCAATCTAAATCTACCCATTTCTAGTTTAAAACCATTGCTCCTCGTCCTATCGCTACATGTCCTTGTAAACAGTCCCTCCCCACCTTTCCTGTAGGCCCCCCTCAGGTACTGGAAGGTCGCTATAAGGTCTCCCCGGAGCCTTCTCTTCTCCAGGCTTAACAACCCCAACTCTCTCAGCCTGTCTTCACAGGGGAGGTGCTCCAGCCCCATGATCATCTTCATGGCCCTCTTCTGGACCTGTTCCAACAGGTCCATGTCCTTCTTGTCAGCTTGAGTGTGCAATCTGCATTTTTAAGGTGCTTGTTAAAAGTTTGGCTTCCATCCCCAGTATTGCACTAGATATCTGGTGCAGAGAAGGGCACTGAATACACATTTCCAAGGAAGCTTTCAGTTGCATCATGGTTTTTCCTTCCTGAACTCTCCTGACGCCTTCAACACTCTCCTTCCAAGCTTTTCAACAAAGGAAGCAGAGTCCTACAGGCAAACGCCCACTTTACTCAGCATAACCATGCCCAATCCTTACAGGATCTCCCTTTTGTCAGGCACATAAGGAGTCTTGTAGGAAAACAGCATGTGATGGTAAATAATTCAAACCCCTATCATAAGACACATCCAACTTCTTCAGTGGCAAGGAAAAAATACCAGTGTTTAGGACCCCTCATTGTCCTGCAGGCCACGTAAACATGGCAGTTCATGGACCTGAGTATGTGGCTTCATGACAGCCACAAGCAACCTCTCTTCTCCCAATCATCCACAGTCCTGCCAACCCATAGCAGGGAACAATATATATGTTCAGCAACAATACTGTCAACTTTCCCCTAACAGCCTTTCCCTCTTTCTTCTGAGGAAAAGGAGACATGATGGATCAAAACACTCTGAGAGCTGAACATAGGCTGTTGGCTGTCAGTTAAAAAACAGGACACACTTATAGAGGAGCTGAAGTGAGGCTGCTCAGGCAAATTTTGGGTGTTTCGGAACTTCTCTATTAGAAATTGCCTAGGATGACACCTTATTGACACCTACAGTGATCATAAGCCAGCCACAGACTTGATTAGATCTTGGAGGCTGCTGGACTTGATCACTGAAAGCCAGGAAAGGATGCTGCAAGGTGAGAAACTGCCAATGCCTACATATACAGTCCTAGAAAGTGAGGTCAGTCTTCACATCAATGAGTCACAACTGCAGGATTTGGTTTAAAGTCAAGAAAACTCCCTTGGCATTTTTCAGTTCAAATCTACCACCTGTGATTGTTTACAGCATTCGTCTGACCCAGCAGGGAGGTCTGTTGTCTGTGAACAGGAACAGGAAGAGAGGACCCTGCACAGATCTCCACTCCACAGCTCCCTTTTTCATAGATGTAAGAAGTGCTATACTAAATTTATTACCATGCGTTCATAAGGATCATCTGTTTCAGCAGCCTTGTCCAAGAGTTCACTGTATTCCAGCTCCTCACAAAGATGTTGCAAGGTATTCAGAGGTTCATTTAGCTCAACTGGCATGGATACTTTGGAAAGATCTTTGCCAATGTTATTTCTCAAAATATTCCACAGATTGATGTTACTGGTGTCAGGGCTGGGAGCTGGGAGACAAGTTCTTCGTCCATTCCTAAATGCGCCTCCTGTTAGCTCACCATTAAGAACTGGGAAGGGAAAAAAAACTATCATAAGAAAGCACCAGGTCAAGAAAAACAGAATTATCCATTGAACCAAATGACTGTCAGAACAAGCAAGCCCAACTTCACTGATCTCAGCTGAGTTGGTCTTGAGATGGTCTTGTACAGACATGCAGTACAGACATGAACATAGCCAATGTAATTTCCCAAAGTTTAAAATATAGCAGTATACTTTGTCGAGAAATGTTGTCTGCAACACTGGTGTTGTCCTCAGATATATTATCACTCACATCACTGATATAAGATTCATCATCAGAAGCCTAAAACATAAATAAAATATCAATTAAGTCAAATACATATAAAATATACTGATAAATTAGAGAAAAATAATTAATTGAAACACAAATATTCAAAGAAATTATCTCTACTCAATTAGAGATTTAACTAAGTCAACTGGATGTTTCAACCAGCCCATACTGCCAATTCACTAAAAGTGTGAAAACAAATGTTAGGGTCTCTTCTGTTTCTGAATTCCTTATTATGAAGCCAAATACAGACCTTAAATTTGCAAAAGGGTGACTTCAAACGAGATCAGAGATGAACAAAAAATTTACAATGTAACATGCTGGGGATGGGAGGTGAAAAGAGACAGTCAGATTTGTGCTCTTTATAAACGGCCAAACAATAAAACACAGCTTGTGTTTCAGCAAAAAATTATATAAACATCAACCTGAAATTTTGCAAAACAAGCACTACACCAGCGCTAAGACTATTTTTAAGAAATATTTTTTAACAATTTTTTTTTCATAAATATCACTTTCAAAATATTTTACAGAATTTACTGAAGACAAAGTATTTATTTTAAGGCCTACACCATTTGGGGGTGATTTTGTAAAGTTTCCATTTTGTTTATACCATACAGACACATCAATTTTCCATGTTCACATAGACAATCCAGACTACTTAGATAACATGTACTTTACACCTGCCAGAAGCAATAAGATAAGGAACGATTCCATTCTTTAGATGAAGGACTCTAGTTGTGGTTGTGCCAATTCATGGCACATGAGCAATTCTTGTCAAAGACAAAATATGGTGGCACACTCTTATTTCCTCCTACAGAAGAGTTGTGGTAGACCACAGCACTACTGTGGCTTTATAAAAAGGTATTTTAAAAAAAAAACAAATTTTTTAAATTGAAGAATTTATTCAGGATAGCACAGTAAAGCTGTGGACACCAACATGATTCAGGAGCCTGAACTGTGTCTGACTGCTTCAACTTTGAGCTTGAGTAAGCCAATTTTTCAGACTTTCGTCTACTTCTCTGATTACAGAGAATAACTTTATATGTATACTAGACACCTTTTTTCTTTTAAAGAATATTTTAAAATCTAAATTAGTTGACTACATAGTCAGACATAACTGCTCCTGTCTATGTAATCCTTATCAGAAACTGGCATAGTCTAACAAGGACATGTATTGAACATATGCTACTGATACAATCAACTTTTGACTCAGTTTTACACTTCAGGGAACTTCTGCACCCTATCACAAGGGAGTTTCAGGTTCATTTATCGACACCTTACACACTCTGACACCTTTTTATCTAAATAGCATTATTAAAAGAAAAATCATTCACTAGTGGTAGCAATACCTAAATCTGTCCAATGGCAAAGCTGCAGCATGCTGTCATAGCCTACCTCGTTTTCTGACGAGCTGGCAGATAGAAGCACTTCCTGTGCATCAAAGAACTCTGAAACAGATTCAGACATAGAGAGCCTGCTCTCGTTAGAAACTTGCTGAGACAGCGGCAAACCAACATGAATTTGTTCACCCGCCTGCAAATAAAGCACAGAAAAAAAATTATTTCTGATATAAAAGAAATATGCTCAGAACGGGTGAATAATCCGAATAATTTTTCTGTGCCAAGTATAAAGTACAGATAGTAAAATCAGCATTTTAGTTGGGCTTTGTGTGTACCTAACAGATGAGACTTCGACAATTACAAAATAAAGTGCATTTTGAGCAGTGAGATACATGTCTTCATTTGAGGCCTACTCAGCACCAACTGTTGAGTTTTGGCTGTGCGAATAATCACAGATCTAGTTCTGTATCCAGAGGAATGATTTTGTGGACAATAGCCGGATTGTGTCAGACAAGTGCAACCATGAAATTCAGATGGAAAGACACCTGGTCGTAAGAAATTATATCACTGGGAGCTAGCTTTGATACAACCAAAACTCAAACATAAAGCTTTATAAGGTCAGGGAGTTATGTTACTTTCAAAATAAATGTGCTTGTGAACCAGTTTAGTAACAAATGTTTGAAATGTTTGAATATTCAGGAGGATGGCTATAATATACATTTATGTGCTCTTATTCCATGTTTGTTCTCCAGATCTCATTTGAATTATGCCGTTAACACTGACTCAATACTACTAAAGGGAAGGAACTCTCTATGGTTTATTATAAAGAGAATTTAACAGCAAAGGCAAAGGTTCAAAATTGTGTTATGTGTATATCTGTAGAGGGGCAACCTAATTTAAATAGTTGAACATATCTTCCTCTTCCTGCTATCGATGGGAGGAACACCAGGTTTCAACACGTTACTCTACAGGCTATCACTTTAAGAAGGGGCAAGGGGGGAATTAAGATTCTCTCTCTGTACCATTCCACCAAAGGAGCTGCTGCTGTGGAGCGAATCAGGCTTCTGACTTAATCCCTTACTTTATAAAGCATGTGGCTTCTGGAAGATAATGCTGATGAAATTACTGAAGCCCTTGTAAACACAGTTAACTCTTCAGATTGCAACTCCATCCCTATTAATCCTACTAGATAAATCCTACAAATGGTTTTGTTGACATCTTAATCCTGTAGAATTATTTTATATAGTTGACTCAAAATGCACTAACACAAAAAAAAAAAAAAACAAACATAAACAAGCCAAGAGGTCAAAAAACATTCCTTTTTCACTGGGGCTTATAAGCTTGTAGAACATTTATGATGATGATGATCAATTATAATGGAAACAGAAGCTCATTTCACTGTTATTCTTACAGGAAGTGATTAAAATTTTAAGTTTTTGTATAAACTAAAGTGAATTGGAAAAATACACACGCCCCTACCCGAAAAAGATGCTCACACAGGCATTATCTACACACTGCAAGATCACATATACAGCAAATCAAGAAAAGCGAACGAGAGATTTGGGAACCTCTTTGAAAACCTGCTTCAGTCAGACACACTTGTACCAAGATAATGATGTACATATGAAAAAGAAAAAGCTAACCAACAAAAAATACAAAATAGAAGAGATGGTCATTGCTCAGAACTTCACTGCAGATTGCTGTGCTGTGGCACTGCTTCACCTCTATCTTCTGTTGCTAGTGTCCAACATGCTGGCCTTTCAGAAAAATCGTTTCGACATTTTCAAAAAGCAAATAAGAAGCAATTGGAAACGTATTTTCACCTTCCTTTCTTGTTGGAAGAAATAATTACGAGACAAGAACATGCAAATTGAAATGGCATATTCATAGGAAAAAAACAGTGGAAATGATGAATGAAAAATATTTTGATAAAATGCAAACAAAACGGCTGTAGAAGTGACCACATTAATTGTAACGTATTACCGCAAATTCAGATTTGTCCTTCTCATGAGGGAAGCTGACTTGTTATTAATACAAATGTTTGGTAATCTGTTGACTGAGGAAAGCAAAACAAGAAAGACTAGATGTTGTCAACATGATATTAGTATAGTGCTTGGTTCATAGACTGAACCTTTTCATTTCAGCAGCTCCTCTCAAGATATTACACATCAGGCCCTTTAAGCACTTGCAGGATCCAGCCATTAAATACTAAACTGTTCTGTTGATTTTTCAAGAAACTAAGTTACAGAATTGGTTAGCTACTGTGTGTTACATTCAAATACAGTAAACCTCACTAATTCCCACAGCCAACAATTAATACTCCAAAACTGGAGTGCTTCCCTGTTTCTCTGCAGAGACCAAACTCAGTTCTTTCATGAGATCTGACACACGCAAAATAAAAGACAGAAGTTTTATTTTAAAAAGGGAAAATACAATCTGATTTTCTATAAAAGAACACTTGCCAATCTGAAAAACTCTATAATTTTCCAGGTGTGTTTCAGTTATTAGTGAGAATTAGCAAGGTTTGATTGTAATCTAAATCCATTAAAGGCCAAAGTCTTACCTCATCAGGACTAGGGATAATATTTACACTGACAACCTGATCACAAATAACAGATTCTGAATGTATTCTGTTCAAGCGACTCCTTAGTTCAGCATTCTGGTTGAGAGCCTTAAAATAAAAATTGCATATTTCATTTAAAATTAAAAAATAAAGAGTTAAACAGGAAAAAAAAAAAAAAAAAAAGTAGTTTCCCAACAATTTCCTAAGAAATCACGGAACCTCCTTGCTTCCATTTTTAGAGAGAGACCTATTTTGAGATCCTCTCTAACATGACTTAATCTTTTGGTTGCTTTGCCTTCAGAGGCAGGGAGGACAGATATTCTCCCACAATGTAACAGTGGCATTCTACCTTAATTCTTCAGATAGCTCTTTGGCAGCTGCACTGGTATGTTTTGTACATTATGGAAATGGGGAGTGAATGCAGCAAGAAAGAATGAAACTGCAGAACAACAAACAGTAACTACCCACAAAACGCCCAAAGAGGCAATTCTTGGTTTACAACTCTAGAGCCCTTTCTGAACCAATGTTATCAGCACTTAGAGCCTGCAAAAGGAAATTGCTTTCTTTCCAGGAAAAAAACAGCATAACTGCTAGTATCATTGGGTGTTTGTTTGCCCAGATCAATTTGATGTATTCACATGTGTCTACTCACTTCAAGCTACTGATTCATTAGTCAGAAATACCAATAGAATTCAACTGGTATCTGCTGATTTTTCTCCTTTTTTAAAGCCCAGCCTAGGTTATAAATTTGGGTGCATATATACACGTTGTCTGTTATCTAGAAAGACTCGTGCAAAATTCTGAAATCCAGAAAAAGTATAATATGTTACATACCTAGAACATGAACTGACGTAACGCTAATATATCCCCAACACTGAGGATTATAGAAAAGTATAAGACAGACATGCTGTTTTAGTAAAGAATGACTGTTATAATGCAGTAAATATCTTCTTCTGCTTCCCCCTAGTGCAAACTCAGGAATAGATTGCATGAACCTACTGAAACAAAGTAGGACCAAAGTAAAATAGGTTAGCTTAAACTGTCACAAAACAGTTTAAATTACCCCATTTTGCTTTGTTCTGAAAGAGTCTGAGCATGTTCACTGTTGCCGTCTACCAGGAAGGGAAGGTGATGACTAACAGCAGCCCAGCAGTAGCTTCTTAAACTGCCCAAACCTGCTCATGAGACTGGTCAAAACCAGCCGTCTGACTAAGGTCAAATTTCCACTTATTCTCCATTGAAACTATGATCTAATGTGTGACAGTGACTTTAACAGTAACACTGGAAGCCAGGAACAAGAAGAAAACATTATCACTTATTTCATACAAGTTGCTATGAAGTCTCTACAGGTCTTAGTTAAATTTGTATCAAGAACCAGAAATGGCTACCCTTATCTCTTGTCCTTAGCCTTTATGACAACACACGGTAATCAACCTGTGTAACATGATGTGCATCTGTATCTATAGAAAGGTTGTGCATCAGTTTTAATCTCATAGCAAAAACCTCCAACACAGTAACAGTGTACAAAATTATATACACGTTTGGGCGAAGTTCTGTTTGCTTTTAAATCTCTGCTCACATTTCTTGCAGATGCAGTACTCCACACCAATCCATTCTTCAGGGTAAATGCTTTCATGTTTCCTTGACAATAAATTTAAAAATTTGAGTTATTTTGCAACCTGTTGACTTACTGTTGCTTTACCTCTTCTTGTCCACTAAAGCAAATGACAATTTTTCTTTTGGCTTAAGTGGGAGAGAGGCTGGACAGTAACTGGTGTGTATCTGAGACTCCAATTTACCCATGCTTATCCTGTGACCCATCATTCCTTTTGCAGTTAGAGACATGGACACAAAAAACATTAAAATATAGAGTCAAAATTTAAAACTTCATTAAGAAAACAAGACTATCGCCTTGGCTGTGTTGGAAACAGCACCAGGAAAGATATCTAGCATTTGTATAAAAACATTTGATCCTTCTTCTTTACTTTGGAAAATCGTAACAGATACATGCTTACACAAAGAAACAATATCCTTCACCTCCACAGGCATTGAGGTTAGACCTATGTCATAACAGACCATATGTCATAGTTCTGCTCAAGAACTTGGCTTTTTCTTGGATCCTTCTAACTCAGAAAAAGGTCAAAATACAAAAGAATAGTGCATCTGGGAAGTTAGATGTGCTTGAAATCAAATCAAGAACATACCTGAGAGAGGGACTGTCTGAGGTGTGTTATTTGCACATTGTGGCCTGTAAGATCCTGCTCTGAAACAACCTGCTTAAGCTTCTCCTTCTCTATAGCTATGCTGTTAAAGGCAGACTTCAAGAGAGAATGCACTAAACAAAAAGAAAAAAAGAAAATAATTGTTTTCGCAGCTACAAAACCGCACACTGACATCTATTACAATATTTCAGCAATAAAGACAGAGAGTGACATTTCCATCCCACGGTTATGGAAATCTGAAACAAGGATTTGAACTTCAAGTAATCCATGCCACATTAAATACAAATACTTACAGCTCGAGGTTGTAATATGCATACTGTATGCTCACATATATGTCATCTGAGCATATTCTTGCTGCTGAACATGTGGAAAGGTGCATAGAAAAGGTGCATATTTGGAAAACCTGTTTCCAATGTGTGTTCTTTCTGTTACTTTATTTTTCTTTTCAGAGTAAAAAAAAAAAATAAAATCAATTCTGCTAAGGCGCAATAGTGCACTAATAAAAAGGATTGCTTGGTCTTTACATAGGTTTTTGACATTTTTTAAAGATATCAGTCTCACATTTTTCCTATGTTTGTTATATAACAGATAGCAAATTGATAACAAACCCTTTTAAAAATAGTATTTTTCAGTCTGTAGGATCATTCATTCATTGATAATAAAATGGCATTTACAAAGTCCATTCTAGTAATAAGTTCTTCTGTTGTTTCCACTGACAGAGAAAACATTGCATAAAAATTAATTGCACAGCATTACATGTAGCCGTGACATTCTGATCCATCTTTGTTGAGAAATAAAGCATTTTATTGAGAAACAAAATGTTTGCAAATTCAGTCACCTATTTACAAGATGCAGAGAGTAGTTCAGAAGACTTCTGAAAAAAAAAAAATTTCTTTCATCAGACAGCGTTTCCCTATCTCTATATTCTCATGACATCAATGGAAAATGTAAGAAGGATAATACATGTCATCTGTATGTAAGCCACTTGACCAGCTAAAAAATCTTATACAGTATGTTCTAATTAGAGGAATGCCCTGGCCATAACAAAATGAAGGCAATAAAAAAACACAACAGAGAAGCACAATAAAGGAAAGGCTTGACATTTCCAGTTACCTTTTTGAGCCATCAGGCAGAATTCTTCTTGAAGCTTCATGTACTCAGTAGAGCACTCCAGAGGATCCGTTACATGGCTTGGGGGTGTCTGAAAGTCAATGTCTGCACAAAGGTTGGGATTGGATGAATGCAGTCGAACAGGTGACATTGTAGCACTGAAAGGGACCTACAGCGAGAAACAGTGAAGAAATATTACATAAGGTGCAACCAACCTTCTGACTCTGTTGAAACAAAATACAAATTTCTTCGAAAGATTTAGTTCACACTGTGAAGAACATGGTAAGAGTGAACATAAAACTTTTTTCTCTCCTAAACCTCAGCACAGCTGATGCAGAATTCTCTTGAAATTTTTCACTGAAACAGACAAAAAAGTCCTAAACACATAGCTGACACTAACTAGGGATCATTTCAATTCTATCATTTACAAAAATGAACCAATTCCTAATGCTTAAAAGATGACTGGAAAACTGAACCATGACACATGCTGCTTTGTATTCAGACATTTGAGAGTACACGTAGTATGACTTTGTTGTTACAATACCAACATTTGAAGCATGCAAATTCCTCCACAGATCTAGAAACAGAATATAAATTTATCAAATATACCATTGAAGTTTTTCAAAAATGCTGGTAAATCTTGAGTTGAAACTCACTGTACGAGCAACTATGACGATGGAAAAAGCATACAGACTTTCTATATTCTTTCCAACTAATCAAATAAACCATGCTAAAAAAACCCTCAAAACTCCACCTGATTTTCATTTAAAGTACATGAACCATAAATAAGTGCAAAGAGATACAGTTTGGTAAGATGGAGCAAAGAATTTAGTTTATTATCATTTCCACTTCTCTTTCTCCTTCTATACTTTTAGGTACAGTAATAAAAAATATACATGCAAATCTTTGTAAGTTATTACACATGTATCGTGTAATAAACAGTTACCTGTATGCTATGTAGGCAGTGTATGGCTACCACTGTTATGTATGTGATGCATGTGTGTAACCATATGTTGTATTTTACTCTAATTTTACCATTTACACACATTTGTACGAAAATCAGGCCAAGAACCCAATTTTCAAATTCAAATGCAAAGGAAAGGCATGCAGAACTACATTTTTTTACTTAAATATTAAGCACTGTTAAACACACTAAATCTAATTTATTTCATTATATTGATCAAATGTATAAATCAAGAATTTCCACACTGCAGCCCAATGTAATTATTCAAATATGAAAAATGGGGCCAAAATATAAAATGCGTCTTCTGAGGTATGATAAAGAACAGCAGATAACATAAAAAGTCATATTATGAAGAGTTCTTATCCACAGATAAGCTCTATACTACAGTCAGTATCTGAAATTGGTACCTCGTTATTTGATTAGATCAGTCAACAGTTTTATCAATCCCTTCCTGTAAAAGTTGTCATCAATATGTTTTAGGTTTCTGATTTCCCAATGAAACCCTCAAAACCCTGTTGGATCTATTCATCACATCTCATTCAACTCATGAGCATATTCTGCAAAATACCATTTTCCATCCTGTTGTTCCTCAATTTCCAGATACACATAATACATAAAATAATAGCTCTGTGGCACATATCCAGTATTAACTTTATTCTCTTCTCTCATGTATTTTGATTTCCAGCTATACCAACAAAGGTATTTTTTATTGGACCTCATTTTAGCCTCACATCAAGACAACTTCATTAAGAGGAGATGTAGAATAAACTCCTTCCATTTGTACTGGATATTTACCCCATTATCTTCTTCACAAGTACCAGACGGCCCCTCTCAACAGCCCAACAAAACTACGTTAATTGAATAATGTGACTAAATGTAGGTTAATTTCAAGTTTCCTTCACAAAACCTTTTCACTTCTCAAATCAGAGAGCATGCTCCCAGAACTTTCTGACTGGGAGCACTGCAAAGGTTCAATTGCTCCAGGTGGCTCCAGGATCGCAGAGTAGGTGGCAACATGATAGCTTTGCGTTCAGGGAGCACATACCCAACCCTCAAGGCCACTTGGAAGGCAGGAAAGAAAGCTGATCCCAGCTATAATGCAGGAGCTTGAGGGAGAGTCCCTGCAGCCCCACATGCCTGTGGTGATGGGGCAGGTTGCTCCAGCTCCACATCGACTGGCAGAGCTGCAGGCAGGCTGCCCACACACACAGGGGGGCTGTCCAGTCACTTTGTGATGAACCTAGCTGAAAAGACCAGCTTTAGATCCATCATTTCTGTCTCATACCTCAGCTGGCCAGCCTAAAAAGCAACATTTCTGCAGTGAAGTCTATTTTAAAGTATGTCCTAGAAACAGCTTATACATGTTCTACAAGTACTGTCACACTGCTTGCAAGAAATACACAATCACGACAGACAAGTACCTGCTTTGCTGACTGCTTTAAATACAAGAACCAAAAACACTGAACTGTTGACTGACATGAACTCCCCTCATATACATCTTTTCTAAAAGTTTCCAAGCTACTTTCCACAACAGATGAAAAAACCCACATTGAAAAAACTTTTTCATTCTCTTGAACAGACAACAGTTCAAGAATCACTGCCAATGTATTTCTCCATTTTTTCCTTTCACTGCTGTGCTTTCTCTTTATATCCACGTGACTCGATTCTGATTTTATAGCCCATTTTTTTTTTATTTGCTTTGTTGTTGGTTTTTTGGAGTTTGGGTTTTTTTGTTGTTGTTTGGGGGGGGTGGTTTGGTTGGTTGGTTTGGGGGTTTTGGGGTTTTGGTTTGTTTTTTAAATATTTCACTTCTTCATGCATCACTCTGGTTTCCTCCATACATACACTCTTCTAGGCATGACCTCAGATGCACCTTGTCCTGACCTTGTGCTTTACACCAGGGGCGTAATAGACCCTCATCCATCACCTTCTTCACAATTACATGTTCACGTAGGAACAGTTCTTGGTAGAGTGGGTTGTAAGGAAAACCTCCTCTTTCAACTGTTCATTTAGCTGATAATTCTGTATCCTTCAGTCTATACACACAGCTTCACTGTCTGGGAGACATAAGCACTTTGCTACATCAACCAGGAAGAACAGACCATTGCCACGGTCACTGCAACAGTTGCAGAGTCATTTCAGTGCCTCTAGTTTTCCTTCCTCCTGCGCTTTTTCCAGCTCCTCCAAGACCGCCCTTAACAGGTCCTCACTTTGGCTGCAGGTTACACCTCAGCGATTCCCTGGACTCCTACCACCTTGCAATCTAAGTCCAACTGTATTTGCTCCACTTAAGCGTTCCTTGGTACAGCTCTTGCCAATGCTCTTTAACTACTGCTGACCCTACTGGTTAGAGCCTCCCACTGACACTGCTCAGCCACGTCAACTGAGAAGCAGGTCGATTTCTCTGCTAGGCAGGCAGACCAACGAGGCCAGAATATCAATCAATTATTGAGCAAAGCATTCAGCATCAATTGATTATGGAGGATTAAATTTAGATGAGTTTATTTGGGAACTGGAGAAACACTGCTTTCTCTCATGCTTTTTAGAAAGGCGTAACAGTAATTGAGTTTTGTGGTTCAGGTAGCAGGAGCTCAACGTATTCAGGCTTAAGCAGAAGCTATGTCTGATCTAGGGGATTTTAGCTATAGGCTGGAGCAACAGACCCTGGAATACTTTAGCCTGGTGAAGATAATCGCTGCTTGGGCTGGGTAAGGGGTACGCATTTAAAGCTCACTTCAATCGTTGGCTGCACAGACTCTTCCCTACCTAGCTGTTATACTAATCAGTTGATGGACTAGTACTAATGTCTATGCTGTGCATTCCTAATAAGTGCTTTCCTGATAAAGCAGCAGCAGAAGATATCCTTTTGATGCTAATTTGATTTCACAAACAGCACTTCTCCCTCCCAATTCCCTGTGTTCATTTCATCGCTCCAGATTTTGCATCAAAGACTTAGAAAATTAGCAAAACTAAATACAGACACTAGAGGTAGTAATATGACTTTTTGGGGTTGTGGAATGTAAACAGGAAGTGTCTCAAATGAAAAGGCTAACCCTTATACTACTTTATTTAAAAAAAAAAAAAAATCATGAAAGTTTATAATTCCATGGTTGGTCGTAACAAACCTTGGTTCTGCTGTCTTGCTATAGACTGTCACAAGGCTCTTTAACAGAATCTAATCACTACTTTCTATTTTGAATAGTATATAGCAGAGTATGTCAAAGACATGTTCAAATAGTGCAGGGCCTAAGTCTAACCATCACTTGCACTTGCATAAAGAAGGAGGGACGTGTACCATGTAAACAAGCTCAGACCCACATTTATGGAATTCATTTGTGTCAGGCCTGACCACTTCTACGCAACTCAGCTGAAAGTGGGTAGCATGGACACCTCCAAAAAGTGCAAGAAACATTATTACGCATTCAAGTTACACAGCTTCCCATCTTTAGAGCTATCCCTTGATTTTTAAATCCACTCACTGTTGTAGCCACTGCAGCTGCTAGTCTCTGCCGGCGTCGTGTTGTGCTGAACTGGCCCTTCGGTGCTGGCCCTTCCTGACAGTGAATGCAATAAGAGAAGGAGGTAGAAAAAGAGAAGGGAAGGGGTGATGGGACATAGGAAGATGAAAGGTGATCAGAAAAGGGAGACGAAGAGTCTTTAAGCGGATTTTAATTTTGTTAACTCTTACGGCCTACACATTCTGAAGACATACCACATGTTTTCAGTTGTGTATGCCAGAGACATAAAAAAGCTAGATACTTCACTAAAGTTATCTCCAGATGTGTTGGACTGCAGTGCACTAAGACTACCAAAAAAAAAAAAAAAGAAAAAAAAGAAAATCCTATTAGCATTTCCATTTAAAATCATAAGGAAATTATGGAATAAGAAAACAAAAAGGATGCTATGGCATGGCAGAAAACACAAAACCCAAACTCCGTCTGGGGGTCACTTGACCATCTAGAAGATGAATTCTGAAAGAGATCACTTTGCATTAGTGGAAGTGCATGAACTGTGGTCCTTGAAGATGCATGTATCTCAATGGTAAAACTTTTCAGTGTGTATGTTATAGTGAGCTTGCTTATGTAAACATTCCTGTGCATAACTCCTGCATTTCCATGTCCATCCTTGAGCCTATTTGTTCATTTTCTCCACACATCACTTTTTTGAGTTCCAACTACTTCTGTGCATCACTGAAGGCTTAGCTTCCAAAACAATGTAAAAACTCAGATAAAGCAGCACAAATGAAAAATAAGTATTCCAATAACTACTTCTTTTTCTGCATGCCTAATCTGTGGCCTCATCCTGCTTAATTTCACTTTTATTTTACTTTTAAGAAAATTCATCATCATACATCAGTCAAGCAAGTAATTGTCTAATGCAGATCTACAGAAGCGGGTCTAGGACAATTCTGTGCAGCCAACTCTCCTCAGGGATAACTCTCCACAGGTCAGCAGATTACACTGATCTTCCCTGCCACACTGCGCTGGTCCTCCCCAACACACAGCACCGTGCCCATCCTCCCCACAGCTCTAGACACGGGGAGGACCACAGTCCCCGCCGCTTCTCCCTCATCCGCACAACATGCACGGCAGTACCAGCACCACATATACATAAAGCAGAAACAGGTCCAGGACTCTTCAGCTTGGCAGTGCTCAGGTGGCCAGCTTCCCCCTCCATGCCCAGAGCGGCTCACCCCGATGCTTCCTCCCCACGTCCCCCACCGCTCACCCCCCTGCCTGCATGCCTCCTACTCCTTGCCCTAAAGCACTGCCTACCACAGGCATGGCAGGAACAAGCCCGTGGGCGTCCTCCCCTTCACCTCCAGTGAGAGACCACTCGCTGTCAGGTGCTCAGGGCTCCCTGCAGCACTGCACAGAGTCTCTGCTGATGTTCAAGGGCTTTGCAGAGCTCATTGTGTGGTGGGGAGGACCAGTGTGGCACCGCATGGTGGGGAGGACCAGGAGAATATGCCGACTCACGAAGAGTTGTCCCCACACAGATTTGTCCCATTCTGTACAGAAAACCATCTATCCTGAGAATAAGTGGGAAGAATATTCTTGTTTAACTAATAGGGACATATATAAATATATACATGTGTACAGAAAGACATGCACAAGTATGTATCTGCAAGATTATGAATGCAGATACACATTCTTAAAATGGGAACAATGAGCTCTGCAGCAGCACATAATCCCTGCAACACAATAGAAAGTGAGGTCATAATCTAAGTTATGATATAAAGAAATACTTATTTAAGGGAAAAGGTAATAAGCCAGTCTTTGGGCCTGGTTTCATTTCTGAAGTCAGCAAGCTGACTTTTCAGGTTGCTCCATACTATACAGGTCTATTAAGCTATTTCTCCTGAAAAAAAAAAAAAGAAAAGAAAAGAAAAAGAAAATCAGCCTTGGAACTTCACAACTCCAAGCTTTTGAGGGAAATTAAATCAATGTCAGTTCATTTTTACGCTTTTCAGTAATATATTTTTTCTTCTTTTGAAGATCTTTAGATTGTCATGAGAATGACAAATAGCTCTTTTACCCAAAGGGAAAAAAAAAACAAACAACAAAACGCTCAGTTTTTCTACAAAAGTATCATTTGTAAAATGAATGAATACTGGTCAACTAACTTGTTGTAGGCCATTTTCATAAGATTTTAAATGGGCTTTTTAAAAACAAAATAAGCCTCCTTCGTAAAAGCAATCTTTCTTCAGAGAAGCAGTCCATGTATTACTCTTGAGTAAAGGCCTGTAAATTAAGCTGTTAACTCTAAACAATTTAGCAATACTAAACCCCCAAACCTGCTATGCTCAATTTTACTTTGGAAAGTAACCCCACTCTAGTCACTGGGATTAGCTGTGTGAGCAAAGTTAACTGCATACAGGACTGGTACACCTAATTGGTAGATATATATTTCTAAGAAACAAAGCAAGCAGCTTTTCTTACAAGAAAAAGCATGTTTTACACACATTATACTCCTAGCATTCATATTCCAGAATGTGTCAGCAG